TGGAAAATAATTTTTTTTATCAAAGAAATGGTATGAATAAAGTAGTCACAGTATATTTTTGATTATGAATATTGTATTATTAAATTTTAATTTGGCAAATTTTTCAGAGAAATCTTGAAAAGGAAGCATTAACATTTTCAAGATAATATAGGAAGACATTGTCATTAATTGAAATGAGCCCCAATAATTGTAGGAGCTATTTTAAAGATATTTACAGATTTGTCTTTCATTTGACACAGAAAAAAAGTAATTTTTGAATAAAATATTCTCTGAATTTAATACAAGAATCCAAAGAATGTTGCTAAATTCAGAATAGCTTTTTAAATGTCAACTGAAACTATATCTTCTGAGATTAAAGAAATTCAAAGGGTATTCTTTATGAATTGTTGGCACCTGAGCATGATGTTATTGCCCAATGTTGCATTGAGCATTTAGCTTATTTGATCGATGCATCAGAAGAGAACAAACCCTTTTCTGGGTAAAGAAATTAATTTGTGATTTTGCTGCTCAGCAATGTATGTCCTAATTTTGCAAATGCAATGTAACAAAAGATCATCCATCCAACCTCTACCACATTTTGTATTCTCAAAATCTGTCACCTTCAAATTAACACTTATTTTGTTCCATGCTACAACTCCTTTATCCTGTCAACAGTTCTGAGTTGAAGACAATTCCCTGATATTTTACCAAAAACAACCAAAAAACTTTTGTTTCCATCCCTACCTATTGCAAAACAAGAATTCCTTCTTTGTTAAAGTTTCAGTCTCATGAAATGAAACATTTTCAAGTTCATTAACATAGAAGGAAATTATGTCTGCTATTTCAGTGCCCAGATGTGCTAAAAATCATGTGATAGTTATATTTTCCAAGGAAGCCTCTGAATTATCTCTTGTTAACCAAGTTGATATATTAGAGCTTGCCACCAATCTATTTTTGGCTATGTGGCAGTTATTGTACTGAATCCACTGACCACATGCCATCTTGATTTCAGGAGCCTTAATATTCTATGCAGTCCTAATGTTTTCTCCATGTAACACCTGCTTCCCAGTTTAATGTAATTCATCATGGTACTGGGGGAAGTGAGGTAGGTGAGTAATAGCCACAGATGCCCAAGCAGAGATATGGAAACTTCTGAAGGGTTAATAAATTACTTTTTTTCTTTCTTATTATTTTTAATGAAAACCAGAAAATGATGAGAGATTAGAGAACTCTGAATGAAAATATATATCAACAATTTGTTTACTTTGTTTTAATTAAACAAGTCTCAGTTGCCAAGACAGCACTTTAATTATCATTATCACATTTTATTAAATAGTCATTATGCATTTTACTTGACTGAATTAATCAAATGCAAAATATTTTATTTCTGCTGCCTGCTTACTTTAATGGTATTGATAAAACAAAACAAACTAATAAAAATTACCAATTTGTCATTAATATAGAATGTATTAATTCAGTTTCTAATTAATATATAGAAACAAGATGATTAAATATTATATAAAACTTAATTTAAAATACATAAGTGTGTTATGATCAAAGAGTGAGAACTAAATATTTCTGTTTCTAAATATAAGAAATTATCATGATTTTCTCTTACAAATTTGTTTAAAAAAAAAAAAATTAAGAAAAATATAGAAAAATGTGTTTCCAATAGAAATAGTTTATGTAACACTCTTACAATTCATCACAACCTATTTTTAAAAAGTTTCAGAAAGCACCATTAATAATAATTAATTTTAATGTATATATGTATATGGAATACAAGATGTAATGGGGGAAAAAATGGTACCAGAATTTCAGTCTTTTACTACTGGGCAGATACTTGTTCAAATTATAAGGCCTTGTTTCAGAAAGACAGTTTCAGAGTGATATTTGAACCTTCAACATTGCCTTGTATATTAAATAAACCTCTCTACAGAATGTTACTTTCTATAAATTAACCAAATTCACATAATAGTGTTCATTCAATCTACGTCTACTTTTGATGACTCAACAATATGCTGCTATCTACATTATTCCACCATTCTGCACATGAACTTTCCAATAATTTCTCTTAAGTTAATCATGAAGCAGAAACTTCCTCTTACACTTCTTTCAAATAGGTCATTATTCTATTGTGCTTATTTATAGTGACTCTAAAAGAGTAAATGTGTTCATGTTAAATATTTGAAATCATAAACCAACCAGGGGACAGTTGAAACAACAAGCAAAGCTTAAAAAAATACTCATGTATTTCCTATATCGCCAATTTGTAATTTAAGGATTGTTTGTTATTAATATTCTCATGTCTTGTCATTACCTTTTTATCTGTGTTTTTACTAGATTGATGTTCTTTAATTGTTTTTCATAAACTCATATCCTCATGGGCTCAGTTTAAAGCTAACAACTTTTTTTCATATACTGAAACTATCACTAAATTGCTAAGCTGACACCCATTTATATAAAATGTTCTTTGATACTACTATGTTAATCCAGAATGACTTGTATAAAATATTATTTAGATGAATAAATTTATGCGAATCACAATTTTTCATCAGTATTTATTTTAATATCCGTAGAGTATGGTAACCAATCAACTTGTTTGAATGGTGATAGCCAGTATTAGATGTGCTTACTTATTAGTCAATCTTTGTTCTCTGCACTTTCTTATTTTTGCTTGTCAAAGTAAAACTAAATCTGAAGTCTAATGAATGTAACAAAGCACTGATGATTTATAACTTACAATATTGTTGCTTTGGCTGCTTTGTTTCAATAAAATATTCTTTCTTGGATACTGGAATCTGTTTTTATTTGAATAGCCTTCCTTCCATTTACCCATCTATTTAGATTATTATATTTGATCTACAAATCATATTTTTATTCCTGTCCTAGTTTTAATAATTTTTTTATCTTCTGATTTGTTGATTTTACTTGTTTCATTATAAATTCAGAAATGCAGAAACAGTTTGTTGTTAGTCAAAAGTCCACAAAACAAATTAACTTTCATGGTACACATTATCATTGTCTGATGTACATCATCACAGAATAGACTGAATTCTTAGATTGCTATGAATTGAAAATTTGGGCTAGCATTTAAATAATTTTCAGCTTTTTAGAAACTTTTATATACATACAGACATATTAATATATAATTGTTTTCTTATGTGTAAACAGAACCCTGTGTCATTGCAACTGTATTTGTCTTCTAGTGTTGCATACAAATTTGTCACCTCTCTCTTAAAACAACTAAACCTTCCACTTCCTGCAAGCTATGCCCCCTTTTTCTTCTTCTTTTCTTTAAACTACTCTTTATCTATCAACTACAACCTCATCAGTGAGAATTTTATCAATAGTTTTTTTTTTAATCCAAGGAAACTATAATTACCTTAACTAAATTACTGCATCTCTATCTTTTTAATTCCTATCACAAATGTTTTTTTTTCTTTCTTACATCTACAAGTAAAAACTTATTTTTACTTTTTCTCACAGATAAGTTTTATGTGTTAGATCTATGATATGTATTTTGCATGTGTAATATATAAAGTATTAGTATGCAGCATCCAATTTAATATTTTTCAATGGATCTTAAAAATATTATGATACAGGAAATAAATTTTTAACTTTGAAGTAATTTTTTAGAGAGTAGAAAATCTTGCATATACAAACACTTGCAGAGTCTAGATCCTTTGATACCATGTGTAATTTTGAGATGAGTTCTCATTTCAAGAGTTGTTTGGACTATTGATTACATTCCTTTTGTTGCATATGTTGCTTTGAATGGGCTGGTCTATTCAGTACTATCATTTCTTTTCCATTTACTCTTATATTCTGGTTTGAATAAAAGGACTCCTCCTTTCCATGTAGATTTTACACCTGAAGAAGGCTGCAGAATGAATCGGTGAAAACCTTGTGGTAACAACAAAACTAATTTTAGTAATCAAAACAACTCCCAGATATTTTACTTTATCATGATTCAGTAGTGTGAATATGTAAATGTTCACATATTTACTACAATGAATATGTATATGGAGATATATCTATTAATAACGGTTCCTGTTCATTTTTATATCTTAGATTAATAATTTCTTTTGGTAAATTGAGTACATTGATTAACTTTTTATCAATACTTTTCCTGCAAACTATGAATGCTTTGATGTGAATGCAACTGTGTGTGCGCATGCAAAATGTTTATTGTTCATTTTCATTGGTCTGTTTTAGTTTGCTTAATCTTTACTGCTTGTCTGCCTTTTTAAAATATAGACCTAAGCCAATTGGAACTATTCAAGGTCAAGGAGTTTTGAAAGAGCCTCTGAATACCATATTAAAATGAAAAATTAGCAGAGGTTAACATACATTGAATGTTTGGCTTATTACATTATGTGAATTGTTTGTATGTTTCCTTGAGTGCCTCTTACATTGGTATCAACTTAAGTCCAAAAGGATTTTGCTAATTGCTCAAAGAAAATAAGACACTAATCACTATTTGCTATTTTAAAGCAAACTCACAATATTTATTTTTTCCTAAATATAGAAAATGAAAGTACAAGTTGCCATGTATGTGTGTCAATATAAATATTTTTCACTAAGTTTAGAATACGAAATTTGTAAAATAAGTAAGCATGTAAAAAATGATTTCTGATGGCAGTGATGACTTCTAACTTCAAATCCAACAAGACTAAAAAAAACAACTGCTCTGAAAATAATCAGTAAGAAGCAAACAACCTTGATTACCAAAACCTTAAATATATGGCCTTCTAAATGGTAAAGCAATAGGGAGCAATTTTGTAGAACTAAAATGTACTAATTAACCCTGCATTTTATTTTAAAAAGAAACAAATTAAAAGTACTTCAGTAAGATCTAGTATTGAATTGTAAATGTTTATAGTATTAAAAATTTTAACTTTTTTCATTTTTTATTATTTATTTTTAATAAAGTTAAAATCTTTTGCTTTGTTTTTTGTCCCCTTCTGCTGATCTGTCTAAGTGTGTGATTTCATTCACTTTTCTCTTTCTCGTTACAGGGAGGACCAAACAATGCACCCCATTATTACAACCCATATAGCTCGCATTTTCCAACGCCACACCCTCAGTACCAGCCTCATCACCATGGTCATCATGGAGCTGCATCACACATGCACCCAAGTGTCACAGGCCACCCACACATGCATGGGACACCACCACCACACACATGTAACAGCCTTGCTCCCCCTGTACACGCAGCAGGTTAGTGTGGATTTTTTTTCCTTTTTTTTTTTCTTTTTTTTTTTTTCTTTTTTTTTCTTTAAACCTAGGGCTGTAAGTTGGGTGGAGGGGGATATGTGTGAGTGTTATGATGGACAGTGACCTGGAATGATAAATCAGGGAGCCAAGTTTGAATTCCATTTGATTTTGTCACATTCACTTCTACACTAATGTCCTTGATAAAGGCATCAATTTAGCTCTCTCTCTCCCCTCCCCCAGCTATGGGTTAATATAGCAGAACAGCCTGGACTCTATGGTTGGCAATCATTCAAGGAAGAGGACAACTCTGAATTCAAAACCATATGTGGCCCTAGGGCCAAATCACAGGTTGCACTTTGGTAAAGGATAGCACCTGGAAACCACTACTGCCCAGGGTTACAGTGAAGACATAGGCAGCAGAATGTTAGATGTGGTCAATGGCAGAACCTAATAGGCCAGATTTGTGACATTGAACATGCAAAAGATCCTTCAAAATGGTTCAATGGATGAAACCTAATTATTTCAGGTCAAACGGAAACTGCAGAAACACAGAGTAGCATCTTATATCTCCTAATAGATGCATAACTCAGTCTCTCAGATTCTATAAAATTTTGCATATTTTGAACTTTTAAAACTTTAATATGCTTTTACTTGCACGAATAAGGTTGATTGATTAGTGGAACACTTTCCTTGTTTCTGTGTATTGCTTTTATAACCTATTGTCACTTTTACATGGCTCAATCTTTCAAAGTGATGAAAAGAAAACTTCTGGCTTTATACAAAGACAACATTTCTCTACCTTATGTAAACAATAAGTTCAGTCAGTTGATAAAACCAGCTTGTCTACTTGGTGATGATTAAACCAGTTACCAAATATGAAAAGAAGTTGAATGGTATTTTTTTTTTTAAAATCATAATAATGGATGGTTCCTTTTACTAACTTTTAGTATTGTTACAAAAGGAATGTAGGTAAAAATATATTTGTTTCACTTTGTAAGGTACAACAAAGGAAAAACTTGTTGACTGAATACTGATATTTATAGTCTGTGTGTATTGAAAGTTTTATTAGTACTAAACTGACTGATGAAGGCCTTTCTTTTTTTTTCTTCCACTTTGGTTAATGTGGCTTAGGAGTGGCACTAGAGTCTAGGATTCTTTTTCTAAGTATTTCTTTCTTTTGCTTATTCTCTAAAATTCAAAAGGCTTTATTTTACAAATCAACAAATCTTTCTTATTAAGAATTAATTACATCATGATTGCATTCTGTGAAACTGATTCACATTATTTTCATTGCTAAATTATAAAGTATTGCATCACATATAGAATCTTCATAAGAAATTAAAATCAATTCATTTGTTTACAGTTCCCTAATATTATCTGCTTCTAGAATTCAATTTGGTCAAGTTTTATAAGCAAAGTGATAATTTTTTTTTTTCTCTGCAGCATTTTCTAAAATTACTTATATTGAAAGATGTAAAATCATAATTCTATTATTTACAGTCAGATTAATGTCCTTATTTTTGTTATCACAATGTTTCAACCATTCTACCCTCTAAGCTTAACGTGTTTGTTGATCCATTTTTTTTTTTTTTAAGTACTTGTTTCACAGAGTCTGTACTATCTGGACCTGGGATTTGAACACACAATTACTATTCCACCAAATTCACAAACCAATATTTTCATCCTCTATGATATTGTTCCTAGAACTTGAAACATTAAATCTAATGTTCTGTAAATTCTCAAAAGGTTGCCCTGATTAACAAATAACTGAAGAAGGATGGCATACATAACAATTAAAATATTGTGATCCTAATAACAAAGATGAAGATATCAGTCTGACTGCAAATATGCCAATAATAATAACTCCTCATCTCAGAAATTCAGACAGAAAAGAATCCTGACCATTTTTATTGAAATGAACTGCTAATAAATCTATGAAAGCTTCTTCTGACTTTTACTCCGTTTTTGTTTTGTCAGTGTCCTTTTTCCTCTCCCCATGTCTGTCATTTGTCTTTCAATGAGTGTTAAAAAAAGCACCCAAAGGAAAGACAAAAATATTTTTGTTTCTAATTTTTAAAAGCAATGTTAGATTTATTATATATTTGTTTAAACAAAAACAGATGTCATGACCCATATAGGTGTTAGTATATAGATTTTATCTTTTTTTTTTCTTTATATAGTTTTAGAAAATCTCCTTTCTGTCCCTGCTTCTCTATTTACTATATCTTGGTGGCAAACATTAATTCCTTCCCCATAAACACTCACTATTTAATATTCCAATATTAACATTGCATGATTATTCAAACAAGTTAGCAACATCACACACACACACACACACACACGGCTCATAGGACAACATTGTGTACTTGCGCAGATTTTATAATTTTAGAGCACAAAACTCATTTCTTTTCAAATCTGTAATTGAGCAATTAATTATTTTCTTTTTAAATTCTTTGTGCAACACAATTTACATCTGAATAAAATATAGCACTTTATAGTCTTATTTGTATTTTCAAGTATCAATTCCTCTCATAAGTAATTTCTCAAATCTTAGAGCAGTTGATTTCACTATTTTAAAATGCCAAATAATAAATATAAACACTAGTACATGTTTGTATAGTTTTAAAAGAAGTTATGTCATCACAGTATGTTTCAACTAAATTAGTTACTAATCCCCCCACACACACACACCCCAAAATGGACATGTCTGCAGTGCATATATGACATGTAATGTTCTATTCAGTTACAATCTATTCCACAGTTTACAGAACAATCTTGAACTCCTTAAAATAGATAGGTGAAAACTAACCTCCCTACATTCTGATTCTGAATTCTGATATTCCTTATAATATGACCAGTTAATATAGCCTCAACATAATGGAATTAGAGTAGGGTATGGAAATTCATTTCAAATAAGTAACTCTTTTGGCTAAGACTTTGTAAGGTGTTTTTTTTTTTCTTTTATTAATCAAGTGATGGTAATAATCATTTGTTTATAAAACTTGGAAATGTTTGTTTTTAAGTGTTTAATTGTTTATTCATTCTGTCAGGACCAAGTCCACCAATCAATTCCGTGGAAGAAAGGAACCGTCAACGGTCTTGGCATGGTAAATCTAAATCTCGAAAACCTGAAGAAGGCTATTACTACAGAGCACCTCCACGCCGAAATAAAAGTAACAAAAGCACAAACAGCGCAGGTAAAAAAAAAAAAAAAAAAAACACTTGTTATATTTCATTTCCCTTTTATGTTTACTTTTTTTTAATTTTTAACATTCTCAAAAATTCTTACTAATGGAGATATTCTTATACTAATAAAAATAAGAAGGAATAGTTGTTTTCTAAATATCTCAATAATGGAAGGGGATGAAATAATGTGCAGTTATATACACCACTCATTAACATTATTACTTACCATGTATGTGGGGATGCTGAAAAGTTCTCAGTTTGACAAAGAAGTCCAGAAGAATCCCTCTCACCTAAAAAATATCATCTTATTGTCTAATTGTTTGGTCAGATTTTGGAAAGTAGGTCTGACTAAAATCTTTTCAAAATCCCCATGTAGTTCTTTAATGAGTAATTGCAAAACTTTTGAAAACAAATCATCAATTTGGTTTATACTCAAAAACTTATGTTTTTATAAACAAAATCTAAATAATCTTATATATTGTGGTATGATTATGTGTTGACACAACCTAAAAAGTTGTGTATAGTGTTTTAATAAGCAAATATTTACTTGGTATGTGAGATATTTTAACTACATTGTCATTATTAGAGAATATAAAATAGTTTTAATGTTTTTTGAAACTAAATCTAAATAACATCTCTAAAGTAACCTTGCAAATTTTAATCATTCGCAGACACAGATTTGCTGTTGATTTTTTTTTTTTTTATACTAATGATCCCCAAATACAAGGCCTAAGGTTCACTCAAGATAGATAATTACTGTGAATTGTATTAACATAAGAAATCAATATTAGGGAATAAAATTTCAGTGTTCAAGTATAAAGTTAAAGTAGACTTTAGAATGAGCCAGAAACCTAATCCTAAACAGGTAACAAAGTTTAAACCTCTACTCTTGTTCAAAAGATGCTGGAGGTGTGTGAATTGGATGATTGGCAAACTTATCTCTGCCTATTGGAAGAGTAAATAAAATATTAATTACAGAACAAAATTTCAGAGTTCAGGCAGAGACATCAGAAGTACACTGTTGAAGGAAACTGAAACCCAATCCTAAACAGAAAACAAAGGATAAACCTCTGTTGATTGTCAGAGGCTAGGAATTATTATATAAAAAAAATGAAATCAGTCATCACTAGAAGAATTGGTTCAAAAATATTTGTCTTGCAAAGGTATGGATTCAAAGATTATTTTCTGGCACTGCATTGCCTAGTCAGATAAGTTACGTTTACAGTTCGATAGATGACTTCATATATAGAGGAGGCTGCTTGTGGTATCCGTGGATAATATGTTAAGATTCCACAATTTATAAGGAACTACAAAACCAATGTCAAATATGCCTACATGATAATCAGATTTTGATTTCAGTACGAAGTTGTTTTTAACTTCTCAGATTAAGTAGTGTTGGTTTTTTTTCTCTCTTTTTTTTTTTTTTTTCATACATTAAGCTAAATTGCCGAGAGCAGTACAATGTGTGGTTTTGTCCTTTCTCACTTCCAGGAATAATAAAAAAAAAAACTCTCCCAAGGTACTGTTTAAAAGAATTTCTAACACAAAAATATCTATGCATCATTCTTCTCTTCTTTCTTTGCCAATAAGGAGATGGATGGGTGTAACCAAAAAGTTATATTTTTCTGGTATGCTCCAGGGATATTTTATCATAATCACTTCAGTTGATAGGTTTAAAACCAGGTGTCCTTGAATTTATATTTTCAGAGAATTGTTAAGAATTCATAAAGAACTACAAAACCAATGACAAATATGCATGCAAGAAAATCAGATATTGATTTCAGTACAAAGACTGTGTATTGTTTTTAACTTCTGGGATGTGTGTGAATATATATCTATATATCTTAAACTAAACTACTGAAAATTTACAAAGAACAGTAGACTGGATGTTTTTGCACTTTCCCACTTCTAGAAATGAACTCACTCAGATGATATATATTTGATATAAGGGATAATGAAGTTGTGTAGCTGTGTCATGAGATATTGACATGGATTTAACTCTATTTGTCTGCAGAATAATTGTTAGGACCAGAAAAATAGAGTACTCTATCTCTGAGGTGGCAAATATTTTAGGCTTTTCTTGAGCAGCACTACCTGGAATCTGAATTCTGGACAGACCACAATGGCAAACTGTGATCACAAGTAATGCAAAAGCAACAACTGACAAAAGGAAACCTTGCATCAGATCACATCCTAATTCAGTGCAGGTGCAGCACAGTCAATGCACTGTATAATGTATGCTGCCATCCATAGTTTTGTAGTTGTTAGTCAACAAGGGTACCATAATTTATAATTATGCCACTTCCTTGTGGCTAAAACAAACATCCCTGTTGGACTATGGAAAACTGTCACTGCATTGCCTGGTCATGTTTCCCATTCTTTCAATCAACAGTTTGGTTTATATATAGGGGAAAATGCATGAGGCTATAGGTTCTGCCTGTCACCAGGTTTAACTACTGAGAACATGCATAGATGCATATAGACCTCACAAAATTCCCTGTAACAACACCCAATATATATATGTCAAGGTAAGGGCATCTCTTGAACATACCTGGATAAAAATACCATGCCACAACACAAGTACTTCATAAACTCTATGGTATGTTGCATAGTTGTTGTTATTCACATGAAATAGAAGCACTACATTATTAAGTCACTGCCTCTAGTTTTTGTCATTTCATTTTATTTGGTCTTTGTTATTATTACATTTTGATCAATATTTCTTTAACCTTTCTTGTATATGTGTTACATCCTGCCTTGATTCTTTTTTTTAAACAATATACTTTTTTCCACTATCATCTGCCATCTTTCAGATGACTTTTTCTACCTTTCTGGTAAAAACGTTGACTCAAGTGACTCTTGCAGTCCTCCAGGGAATTTAATTTCTTTCATTAAGAAAATTCTCTGGAGACCAGACTAAATGGTTCTGAAGGTGCAGTATCTACTAAACACAGAGGATGAGTAAAAACCTCCAAGCCAAGAAGTAAACATTTATCTGGTTACCAAAAAAACACACAGTCTAACATAATCCTGATGGAACATGTCTTTCTTTTCTTTTCTTTTTTTGGTTGTTCTTTGTTTTTTTGTTTTTTTTTGGTTGTTCTTTGTTTTTTTTTTTTGTTTTTTTGGTTGTTCTTTGTTTTTTGTTTTTTTTGTTTTGTTTTTTTTTTGTTTTTTTGGGTTTTTTTATCAATTGCTACCTTCATTTGGTTTGAGTGCAGTTCTTGTTTGAATCAATCATTTAGTTCTCTGAAAGGAGCTCATAGTAAAAGATTGCCTTCCAAACAAACCCTACAGACTACCTTCTTTTGATGAAAATTATCTTTAGGTATGGGGGGGTCTATTTTACTTGCCTCAGACTCTTTTATTCCATGTAGGCATATTTTTATTTTGGATTCTATTTTGACAAACTTTTTTCATGCCTACACAATTGTATTACAATATAATTAAAAGTGATTTTTTTTCAAATGAAGTTAGTATTAGGAACATGTAGTTTTAACTATCTAAGACAGATTCCAATATTTTTACTATTAATGGGTTACATGATTCTTTTAGACAAGTATACTCTAATTGAAGAGGAGAAAAGGAAATAAGCACTTAGCCAGTTCTAAAGATTAGATAAAACATTCTTTAGCCTTCTTCAGGTGCATCAAACATATTAAAAACCATGTTGTGTAAAACTTAGCATTTCTCTATGACGAATATAGCCTATTTATAGCAAGCAAAAAATGATACTTTTTATCAATTTCTTTCCTTTTCCTAATACTGATACAATAGAATGATGTAAATTGCTTATTATAAAACTGTTGTTTAGAAAATGTTCTTCCACACTAAAGGGTCATTTCAGTATTGTTCAATGTTTGCTTATTATAAAACTGTTGTTTAGAAAATGTTCTTCCACACTAAAGGGTCATTTCAGTATTGTTCAATGTTTGCTTATTATAAAACTGTTGTTTAGAAAATGTTCTTCCACACTAAAGGGTCATTTCAGTATTGTTCAATGTTTGCTTATTATAAAACTGTTGTTTAGAAAATGTTCTTCCACACTAAAGGGTCATTTCAGTATTGTTCAATGTTTGCTTATTATAAAACTGTTGTTTAGAAAATGTTCTTCCACACTAAAGGGTCATTTCAGTATTGTTCAATGTTTGCTTTCACTGTAATTTTTACTATATAAATTAATGAAATGTAAGTAAGTTTATAAAATGACACTCTTGTTTAGCAATCATAATTTATCAACTATTATCATATTTCTATTAATGTTGGAAGAAATATTGCTTAATACAATCTGACTTAGATTGCAGTGTTAGGAAATAAAGACTTCTGGTTAGTCTCTCTATTTTTATTGTTGAAATTTTGAATGTCTAAAAAGATGCAAATAGCATTTTCTGTAATTGGCAAGGTAGTGGAAATTCAGTTTCTATTCTTTCTTTCTTTCTCTTTGCTATAAATCTCTCTCTCTCTCTCCTATTTCCTTATGTTTGTCTGTCTCCTTTCTCCTCATCTCTCTCACTTTGCTACTGTACCTCTCATAGGATAGTAACTTTAATACAAGTTAGCCTTGTTGCAAATCTTCTGCCCAGCCAGGCAAAGATGCCAAAGAGAGCCAATCCCATAGTGATGCTGCACACTTGCTGGTTGCATCTTGTGCATAACACAGCAGCTGAAGCAACCCTTCAATTGTTGAGCCTGTACATGTATTGATTGGATCATCACTTGTGCTGATGACTCATCACATCCACTTGCCTAAATGTCTGACTGCTATTGTTCTTATATAACCTCTCTGGATGCAGGACAACTATTCAGCATTGAAGCCTACCTTATGGCTGAAACAATGGTATATTCTCTTGGCAATGTTTTGTCTTCTAATCCAAATTAAAGCCAAGATTTTATGTTTGTTTGCAAGTCAGGCAAAAGGGCTTTCTCCATTTGGCTGACACAGCCTGACCTTTCTTGTTCTTCTTTCCCAATTTAGTCTTGTACTGAACTAAGCTTACAAAGTATTGATAAC